GCTCTCGTGGCCTAGAGGTTAAGGTGTTGGCCTCTCATTCAAAGGTCTCTGGTTCGAATCCGGGAAGTGACCGAAAAATTTTCTTCTCTAAATTTGTCTCCTTTCAACTCCTTTCCTGCTCTCTAACAATGTTCTGTCGTCTGCTGTCGTCTCCTCTTTCTGACCCCACCCCCTCATCTCCTTTGCCCCTTCCTCTGGGCTCCTGATTCTTTCTACAGCCTTTCTACTGTTACTCCTTGGCTTATTCTTACTGCTGTCTTTCTGCCACACCCCTGATCTTCTGGTAGGAAAGATCTACACCTTGCCTTCTTGGACATAGGCAAAAAATCTCGGAGGGCCCGTGTGCAAGTTTCGCACGTTAAAGATCCCTTCGTGGTCTAAAATCTATAAGAGTAGGCTTCGGCCGCCACCCGGGCAAAATTCAAAATTTCCTACCAACTGAAACAGTTTAATGTGTCCCGCGCGCTCAAATGGCCTTATGCGGTTTCGAGCGCTGTAAAATACTTACAAAAACAAACAAACACTCTACCCGTAGATCATACGATCGACAAACGTGAGGCTTCGTGGTGGAATCAGGCGCAGTCAAAATAATGAAATCAAAGAAATCTGCATTTTTGGGGGCCGATGGGCATTTTTTTCTTCTCTAATTTTCTTTTTTTGTTTTGTTTTAGTTCAACACCTCTTTTGTCCATGTAAAAATCAAAAGGAAGGCAAATGAACAAGCCTTAAGATGATGCCAGTAACCCCATATGTCCAAAAATTGACGAGCGCCTGATTCCACCAGGTCAAGACACAACACGTACAATGAATGAAGTCCGCAAAGCAACACTGTACAGGAGAGGGATTAGACACATAGATCTACAAGAGACCAACGTTCGATTTCTGAGTGGGGAGAATTTTTGAAGAGGCGTCTGTGGCCTAGTGGTTAGGCTCTCGGACTCGCAACCGTAAGGTCGTGGGTTCAAATCCTGTCAGGGACCTGACGTTTTGTCCTTGGGAAAGGCACTTTACACGAGTTTTCCTCACTTCACCCAGGTGGGAATGGGTACCCAGCTATAGACAGTGAAAGATCTTGTCAGTTTGTTAGTGTTTGAGCGCTTAATCAGCTGCTTGCACTGTATGCTTCCCGGGAAGCTGAGAATGTTTCTGAGTGTTCTATAGTCTGCTGGGGTAATAATATAGTGTAAAGCGCATAGAGTTTGCTTTCGAGCGGGGTTATGCGCTATGCAAATGCTATCTATTATTATTATTATTATTACTATTATTATTATTATTAAGAGTATCTCGGTCTTTCTGCTGGGACGTTGCACCACTCTCTACCCAGGTTGGCCTTGACAGGCAGGCAGGGCCGAAAGCCCGCGTTCTAACTTATAATTAAACTTGTGTCAATGGGAACGTAAAAACCACCTGAGGCCACTGACCTACGACAGCTAAGCGCTTAAGCCGCTGCGTCATAGACGCCGGTGGTTTGTGGGTGTGAAAAGTGGCAGCAGAAAGCGAAACAGTTCTTCTCTTTTAACAGCAATGCTCTCATCTCTACACCCAAAGGGAGCTATTTAATTCCTGTATTCAGTTATAGAAAAGCACGATAAAAAAAGTTTGGAGTTTTGTTTTCAATAAGATATTTTCTCCCAAACTCTAAATTCCAAAACGACACAGAAAAGGGGCGGTTCAAAAGGGGGTCTCTTGTCCTCAAATCGAACTAGGAGTAAGACTTTCTTGGTTCAGCATACAGGACAAGGACAATGTGTGTCATGCCAAAACAGCATAATACTTTTGGTCGGAACGACATCGGTCTGGCAAAGAGTTGACTGGGATAGGGAAATAACTAGCTCTTCAAGGACGCACCGGACACGTTTGTCACATCAGCCAGCTGCAGGCCAAAGCCAATTTACGCACATTTTGAACCGTTATACAAAAATTAGACACAAGAACTTCCGTGGTCTATAAATGTATACATCTTGTTGCTTGACGTTTTAAAGCAGAATGGAAAAATTTGTTTTATGCACCCTGCATAATTTAGCAAAATCTGACCATTTTTATCATATTTTATAATTATTTTTCTTTATCATTCTTTGGTAAAAATTAACAGAATCGCTTATAACATTTTTGGGTTCAGTTTGCTTAATTTTAGATATTTTTTGCATATAACTGCGGGAACAGATTATTGTTGACAAAGGATGATTATTGAGACGTAATAAATTAGTGTAGGTTCGGCCCAAGAGGAAAAAAGTGGGGGAGGGGAGGGGGGGGGGGGTGAAAGGGCCGATATATCATTATGTTTCTTTCAATTTTTTGAAGAACGAATTTATACTTCTTTTTGTAATGCCTCCAAAAAACAGCATATCTACAAACAATGTTCAGTTCGAGCTCAATTCCCTACATATTTTTTTCTGGCCTCTGTTACCGTATGGTCTCGAGGGAAGAAGCAAACGTCGTTCTCTTGTTTGTACGAGTAGTATCACCTGATGCATTGATATATTGTTCTGCTCCCCTCTATCCATCTTTTCCTGAGTCTGCCTCTTCCCACCTTTTTAATTGTGTCGACGGGTCTATAAACACCTACAATATATTATGTGGCTCTTTTTCTGTATCCATCTGATCTATAGTGTGTTACATGTGCATCAATAAGCACTACTGGACATAACGTTAACAGTGGCGGGTTTGAGGGGGGCTTGCCCCCTGGCAAAAAAAATAGTTTAAAAAACACCCAATCTTCACGTTTACAAGGCAAATCATCAGTTCAAAATGGCTGCCAATGGAAGGGAAAGGCAATTTCCAAAGAGCGCCAACCAGTATTTTATTTTTGTTTATCTGTGTACTCCAAGAAGGGAGTCAAGTCAACTTTTTCTCCGACTATCTCGTTTCTCAAAATGCCTCCTCCTGTGGTGTTCAAGGCTTTTCTAAAGCATCTCATTTCACAGCCATTTACTTTTGCTTTGGTGACTTTTGTTTATTGTACACATTTAGGTTTTAAATATTTATTGGTGGTTTGGCAGCTGCATTCTCTCTTAAGCAGGGCCACTCAT